TACAAATTTATTAATATTTTATACATAATATTTTTATTATATATATTATTAGAAAATTGTAGTCAAAGTAAGGTGTGTGAATAGTGCAGAAATTCCAATGTTGCAACTTTTATGGAACGGAGGAAGTATGTGGGATGGAATAACAAATGTTTGGAAAAATTAGATGGAAAAGTAAATTTCCCAACACTGTGTTCGGAAGTGATTTTTATTCTTTTTTTAAAACAAAAGCAGAATGGTTTTCAGAAACTGGTTTTTCCGACTTCTAAAAAAACTGATTCTAAAAGTAAATTATAACACCAAAAGTACTTAAGAATGATTCTAAAAATCTGATCCAAACATTCCTTAAACCGTAGAACCGTACCACACAAAAATTAAAAATGATTTTAATGTAATTTAATGAGGATAATGAGATATAGATGCAACCAGAAAGGTCAAAAGATGTAGGTCAAATAAAAATTTAATTTTAGTAGTTACGTTCTTGGTATTATAAATGTCAACTAGTTTTCATGAAGTGTTTCATCGAACAACCAAAATTAGATTTTTTTGCTAGATCGGATATAAACAAAATCGCTAATATGAAGTATCTGCTACCATATAGGCAAAATTTATAGCAACTTGAATTTAAAACTCGTTTTTTTTTGAGTAGATAGACACAAAATATTGATTTTATAACATTTATCTCTTCTTCTTTTCACGGTCTTATGTGTTTTTGGTAAGTTTTTCTCTGCAATGTCAATCACAATGTCTACATCTAGACATTGTGCTTGACATTGTGAAGAAAAACTTACCAAAATGATGTAAGATTCTTCAAATAAGGAGAGATATATTATATTTATTGTTTTTTAATTGGTTATTTCTCATGCTACATATGCACCGTTAACGTCTTAAAGTGGACGAACCTAACTCCAAGCTAATTTCCAAAGTGTTTATTTGCATACATTTAATTTAGAGTAGTGCAGCAGCGTTAGTTGGCTGGGTGGTAACACACCAATTAATTACTTGACCTGGGAGGCTAGTCAGACAGCGTCCACTATTTGATTTTACTTTTATTTAATTTCATTACCATTTATAATGTCTGAAGTGTTCTTGTTTTTAATTACTTTATTTCGTTAATATAATGAATTAAGTTGAGTAGAATGACTTCTAATCGGGCTTAACTCCAAAATTTAAATTGTTATATTAAATGTGCATATTAGTTGTTGGAGAAGTTTTTTATTGGTCATGATAAATAGATAACTTTATTAATTCAGCGGAATATGTTTATTAAATTTATCAAGAATTTGGCACAAATTCACAATGATGATAAATTTGTTCTCGATCGGTGAGTAAATTTTCAGGAAAAAGGTCAAAAAAATTGATTTTACAAAATAGATAAATAAAAGTGACTAGTTTTTCTTTTTCCTAAAATATGACAAACCTTTTAATTACTTAATTAAATTTTTTTCGTTGTAATTTATATTTGTTGCCCTACTCTTGTCCAGCTGTCACAAAAAAATGTCGATTTTTTATGATTCTTACAACAGTTTCATCTAGACGTGGACCGGGCCGGATCAGGACGGGATTGGACGGGACCAAGAATTTGAGGTGCATGCCCGGTACCGGCCCGATGTTTGTACCGGTCCCGGCCCCCGGGCCCGGGTTGGGTCTAGGGATGGATCAGGCTCGGGTCGGGATTGGGGCGGGACTAGGTTTTAGGATGAAGGCCCGGTACCGGTCCGGGTTGGAACCGGGATGCGATCGGGTCTAGTTTTTTTTATTAAAAAAATTGGTTTTTCGGATTTATTCCTACCCCCACCCCCAAACACCCCACCCAAACCACCCAGTCCCACCCGTCTAGTAGCCAAACCATGCGAAAAAGAAAAACAAAATGGGCCCGGACCGATCTCGCACCGATCGGGCCGTTCCACCAAATCAGCATCCCGTAGCCCGCCCCAAAATCCCCCTGTTCCGGCATCCAATCCCGATCCCGGTCCCGCACAGTAATGGGCCAGCCGGGTACCGGGTCAAGCCAAACCGCCCAGTGCATTCCTAGTCGGGTCTAAGTTTTTGTTTTTAATTTGTTTTTTTCAAATTTGTAACTCCCCCCCCCCACCCACCCACCCCTAAACCCCCCAAACCCACCCAAACCACCCAACCCCACCTGCCTAGCATCCAATGAATGGGAAAATATCAAAAAAATAAAAAAAATTCGCCCAGTCAAGTCGGGCCTGCACAGTACCGGGCCAGGCCAGGTCCCAGGTCAGGCCAACCCGTCCCATTACATCCCTATTTTCATTCGTTAGTTACTGCATAAAAATTTAGTACCTACATTCGTTAGTTACATGAAAAATCAATCAGTGACATAACTATATGGCAATGATATCATGTTTTTCCAAATATATTAGGGCATGTTTACTAATAGAGATATTTTCCTATTTTCTATTTATGTTTTTCGTTCTCCAATTTTCTGTTTTTATTTTTCAGTTTTTCTATCTCCAGTTTTCTCTTTCTATTTTCTAGTTTTCCATTTTCAAATCTGAAAACATGTTCATCAATTTTTTCACCCAATTCTGTGATCATCCAGAAGACTGACATGTTTACTTCACAGGTTACTAAATGGTGATTATTAAAACTCGCGTTAATAAACGACGCATAAAATAAGCAATGTTATAAGATCATGATTACTTCAGAAGGTTTAAAATACCGTTTAACAGTAAAATGTCCAAAATAACCCTATACATATACAGAAACACAACCATTCATAAACACAAATATATAATATAATATGTGGGGTTGATCACCTCGTACGTGTACCCATACTCCTACCCCTACTCTGCCCCTATACCTCGTACCCCCACCCTAAACCCTACACACAATTTCACATCCTTGACCCCTACCCCTACCCTTACCACGATCTTACACTCTACCCATACTCCCCTAAAACCCTTCATACCCACCCATACCTACTCTTAGGGGTCGGGGTAGGGAAGGAAAGTATGGGTGGGGGTGGGTGGGGGTGGGTGGGGGTGGGGTAAGGGGTATGGTCAGGGTGGGGTGGTAAGGTCTAGGGGTACGGGGTTGGGTGGGGTAGTGGGTGGATTATGGTGGTGGTTGGGGATAAGGGTGGGGGTAGTGAGTAGGGTTGGGGTAAGGTAGGGAGTTGGGATAGGATGACGGTAGGATGGGGCCAGGATCAAGGTGGGGCCAAGGTAAGGGAAGGGGTAGGGTGGGGGGTAGGATGGCAGTACAAGGATGGGGGTAGGATGGCGGTAGAGTGGGACCGAGGTAGGGGGCATGTAGGAATGGGTAACGTAGGGGTAAAGGGGTAATAATGTAATATACGAGGTGGGGGTAGGGTAGGGTGGGGTTGAGGTGGTAGGGTGGATCGGGGTGGGACCGAGGTAGGGGCATGTGGTAGGGACAGGGGTACTGTCATTGTAGGGAAAGGGGGTATGTTGAGGGTTGAGTACTTGAGTGGGCATAGGATGGAGGTACTAGAATGGAATCGACATCGAAGCGGGACCGGATCCACCACTAGGTGTAAGTATGCAAATTCATTGCAGACTGCAGAGGCCTGAATCATCCGCGTTTTCCAAATTTGAAAAACTAGTAAAAGACACTTCTCCAAATCATTAAGGATAAGAGAGATGTCTCATTTTTTCGTTTTGGAAAACGGTTTGGTAAACACGTTTTCTGTTTTTGTTTCTCCAATTTTCCAGCAATTTTCTTTGGTAAACACGTTTCCTGTTTTCTGTTTTCTAGTTTTCAAGTTTTCTCCAGGTAGCTTGTTAGTCAATTTTTTATACATGACTACATGTGTAAAAATAGTGAGTTTTTTAAAATGAACTGCAATATAATCATATTTATGGAATATCCCGCTTTTTGTACTAGTTAAAATATATAAAAAAATCACTAATCCCGACAGGGCCGGCCCTGGCGGTGTGCAGGGTGTCCAACCGCACAAGGCCCAAAAATTTGGAAGGGCCCAACTTTTTTTTGTAGTAGTATACTAGTATTACTTAGAGGTGGTTTCGGTTCGATTTTGATATAAAATCAAATGAATTACAAAAAAATTGGACTAGGGCAAGGCTTTGAAGCAGGCCTGGTTCATCACTTCACGTATTCCTCATCTGCAAAGGAGGAGCGTGTATATAGGAACAAAGGAGTAGTAAATCCTCTGTTTCCACCGGTGTGAGAATCTTAAGCTTTAGAAACAAAAAAGAAAAGAAGCGAGGCATGTGTGATTTGAACCCAGGTGAAAATAAAAGCATGCACGCTGATTTCTAAACATCAACCACCGGACCAAATCAAGTAATTGTTGAAATACGGACGTACAAGTTTTATATTACCTATTTGTTCTACAAATTAAATAACTAAAAATACCTCTTAATAAAAATCGGTTCGGTTTGAACCGATTTTATAACTCAAAAAACCTTCAATAAACCGATTTGTGTTTGAGTCCTGACTTTCGGGTCCCGTTTGAATCTGTGCGGTTTCGGTTCGATTTTTTTAACTTGTGTTGAAACTTTGAAAAGAAAGCTCAATTATTATTTTTTGCACAGGGCCTTCATTTCCTCAGGACCGGCCCATTACTTTGACGACGTTCGCTAAAAAAACAAAATTTTGGTGATGCGAAACCCCAAAACATTAGATGTCGAGTAGTTAAATATTGCAAGACTAGTGGTCCATTATAATTTAATAACATGGTGTATTCCAGTTCGTGGATTAACTGTTACAAAAGATATGAGTATCTGGAAATGCAAGTCCATAATTTCTACGGTCGCATGTGGAATAAAAACACAGCAATGAAGAACCCAATTGCAAATCATTAAATCAAAAACATCCATTACGACATACTTGTGACCAGAAAGTTATACTTAGTACTACGTGTCTAATGGGACAATCTTGTTGACAAGAAAATATGTCGAGAAAACAGTCGTGCGGTGTCATTTGTGAAGGTAAATAACCAAAAGAAGTGCTTCAATACCGAAAGAAAAGCAAGTGAAGTACTGCACAGAAAACGGCAACACTTATTTTTTTAAGACGGGAATAATAGTGCCACTTTGTGCTTTTATCACATGTTTACACGCCCATTAATATATAACTTCATATTCACTGCAAAGGGAAACGCGTTCATAATTTACAAATTACATCACCTTCATCCAGTTATCTGGCCTACGAACAGCCAAACCCCACCTTGGTTAAATTTGCAATATATAAGTTCACACATGTTATATTAAATGCTCTATATCCTAAGCCTGCCATCAATAATGCAATAGCAAAAATATGCTGTGATGGAGGTACATATTAGCTTTAGATTGTAAAAAAAGGACATTTTTTGAATTCATCACACCCACTCATGAAAAAAACTTCCAATATTGGAAGAAAGTTTGCAACTCAGAGGAGTAATGACAATATCCATCCATCCATCACTTCATATATTTCTACCTGTTCGTAATAGGCTTGTCATTTACAGAATAGATACTCTGTATATCTACACTGTACGATATACTCCATATATTGTAGTTGACCCTTCCTTTAAAAAAAGGGTCAACCCCAACCCTTCATATAGGAAGAGACTATACTGTACAAAACTCTATACAAATTCTTCACTTGAGATGCTGCAATAGGGGAGTAGAATATTTCTTAGCATTCTTTTTGTCAATGGAGGTTTACGTCTATAGAAGACGGCAACAAAAACCATAGTTTTACCTTCTGAAGAGCCGAAGTTAAGATGAACTGCCATTGGATTCGGATGAGGCTACAGGAGGTAGTCTTTGTTGAGCACTTTGCGGCGGTGGGGGAGCAGTAATTGCATAAGTCAGCCTTGATGACGATGAATTTTCAATAAGACCAGCAACTCCGGCAGCAGCGGATTGAGCATTTGAGGGAAGGAAAAGATCATGTTTCTGGTTTTTATAGGCACTCCATACCTTTGATTTTTTATGAGCACAAAATTTGATTTCAACATTCACTTATTGAAGGAAACAAAAACTCAGATGTATAATAGTATAATACAGAAAAAGCCAACAAAAATAGGCCACATTGCACAAAAGGGCAAATGTAATGTAAGTCTACTTTCAAATTTTTATTCTTCACGTTGCACAAAATGCTGAAAAGAGCCTCAGTTTATTACTATGGCGTATGAAGGGCAATTTAGCTTTGTGTATGTTAATGAATAGAAAAAAAAAATCTAATGGCCTACAACATCACAAGGGCTCACTAGTTTTCTATAAAGAAAGTGCACGAGTCTTTAGAGTGTACTCCGTATAAACTTGCAAGTCAAAAGTTCAATCACAAATCAGAGCCAGGTTCCTAAAATATTCCTAATTTATTAGAATTAGTTTCAAATTTCTAATAAATTTTAACTTTTCCCGATTATCATTGATGATGATAGCAATTCCCAGTCCCATTTCATGCGCTTTCCATGGATCTCTTTGGCCAAAAACTTTGGGGTTTCCTTATATTTTTCTTGAGGTGGCAGTAGTAATGTAGAGAAAAAGGAAACAGAGAAAAATATCAGTAAAAAGAATGATCAGTGGATTGCACTCTTGTCCAAAATATGTAAGATAATATTTCCTGTTTTGATTTCAGCATTCCGTCTCTTCATAAATGGAGGAAGCAATGGAATAAATATTACCACCATTTGCAAGACCATATCACTATACCTTCTGCTCTAAAACCCCTGCTTCAGCTCTACCTGACCGCCTACATTTCTATCCAAATTGAACTCATCTATGCTCCTCCACATCCTGCCTGAGCCCCATCTAGATTCTAGAACCTAGCATACCGCCTGACGGGCACATACCAATGAGGTAACCAGGCCTACATCTAACTCAATAAGTTAGAGGTTTAGGTTCTGCCATCTTAGGTATTTAACATAGACCTACACTTACATTATTTATCAGGAAAGTCTTCTCTTGTGAGCAAATTCCTCAGACATACACTGAACGTACATGAGGTTCACTTCTCCTATACTAGGAAAACAAAAAGTTGCATTTTGACTCATCATTTTTACATTCTGTTTGCATAACATTTGAGGCACAACACACAAATCACCATTCTTGTCAACCTAAACCGTCCCACATTTAAAAGTGAAAATAACTGGCATGCTGTTAAGATCTTGAGAGGTTTAGAAACAAATGAACAAAAAAAGCAGCTAGCGTAAAGTGCACAACTTACATCTGAGGCATTCAGTATGTCTCTTACTTTCATACAATGTGCCCCTTCCGCTGCAAAGGCATGCAAAACCTGGATATACAATGATAAAACAATGGTGTGAAGTAATTCACATGATTATCAAATTATCAATTTAGTTGTGAAGAGGGAACAATTATGGCTTGCATAAGCAGTCAAGTACAATGAAAAGATAGCTCCACATAAAAATGTCCTCTAATATACTAGTATGTCCAACCAAACTATTACTCAATAAACTGAACAATATTTATTTATAACTTCATAACAAAAGGCGCCCATTTAATAAGGACGTCGAAAAATAAGTACACATTTGGTGCATTTCCAGATAAAGTTAAAGTTAGGGGTTGTTTGAATCTAATTCTAGAAACTATTTTAAGAAACTGAGTCTGCTCCTCTTTGAAGCACTTATTATCAGAACGAAGGAGTATTCAGCATACATTTCAAATTTTGCTTCTTTAGACTGCAAAAATCAGTTTTAGAGAAGCCCGGGAGAGGTGATGCTTCGCAGTTCTCAATGACTGAGACTGATCATAAAATCATTACAACCCACTAATTATTATTATATAATAATACCTCCATTCTTAAATAATTGCAACATGTTGAATTTTACACTATTCACATGTTCTACTTTGACTACATTTTATTCAGAAATATATCACCAAATTAATGTTTGAAAAACATCATTAAATTTGTCTTGTCATATATTTTCAAAATCTAATTTTTTTAATTTTGTTACTAATAGAGAATTTTAAATATATTAGTGGTCAATGTTGTGAGTTGGAAAACGTGAAAAGAGAAGTGTTGCGATTAAAGGAGAACGGAGGAAGTATATACTCTGTAGTACTATTTTATACATACCAATGTATACAGAACAGGGATCACCTTACTCTAAGATTATGCATAAGACACTCAATCTATACCACTGAATTTCATAGATCTAACAGCATTGATTCAACAACTCATCTTATGCCATTAGATAAAAAAGTCAAATTGAGTGGCTTATACTTACTCTTTGAGCGTCTTGTGTATATATGAATATTTTTGCCACGATAAAAATGTTATTAGATAACAGTACATGAATAATTTAAACTTTTTAACACCATATCATTTCTGCATACACATACAGTACAAAATTCTGATTGTAATAAATGAGAATCAATGGACAACACTCCCTTTTTGCAGATAACAGTAAAAACTAGCCGCCAAGTGTATGTCCTTTTGTTTACACGGTGGTTTTTATTCAACAAAGGTCATATAATTTCCACTTGAGAAATGTTAATCACACATGGGTAATAGTGCAAACATTTAGAAAAGAGAAACTTATCCATGAGAAATAAATAGAGAATTCAAATATACAAGTCGAACCTGAACCATTCAAATTATTCCAGTTATCTATACACACACACACCTCAATTGCAAGAACTCGACCAATGGATGCTTCAGACTCATTCCACTTCATCTGTGAGCATAGTCCATTTCTTCCCCCCGCTCTCCAATCAAGAAGGGCAAGAAGTATATCAACAAGACCAACCCTAAATAAACCAAAATGATTATCAATGGGAAGATAGATCAGAGCAGCTTAACTGTAACACATAGAAGATAGAAATACACTACTGACTTTTTGCGGTCATTGACACATGAAGATGTGCCAATGCCTAATTTGTTGAAAAATAGAAGGTTGTGAACTGAAAACTACCTACACCCTATACAGTTTACCTGGAAATAATGTCACGATGGTAACAAGGGCATGAAAGTCTACGTTATGCTTGTTTTTTCAAGAAAAGATTGCCAAGAGAGACTTTTTATTTCTACGGACCAAGTATCTTCATTTCATTTTTCTTATTTCTTTTCTGTGGCAAATCAACTTTCTTTTATGAGTTTCATCCTGATTTTAAGTCTTTCCTCTTCTTTCTTTTTGCTTCTTTCTCTGCAACCCAATTTCTTACTTCTTTCTTGAAATATTAGAAACCACCAATGGGAATTTGACTGCTTGAATTTTGATAAAAAAAAACTCCAGCTTAAATATTTGTATTTTCTTCTTTTATTTTTATTTTCTTGCAATGTGTTGAAGATAACATTATTAGTAAGATGATGATGAATCTTACTAGGTGACATTTAAGTGAAATATTAAAGGTTTATGTTGAGGCTTACACCTCGCCTGAAGCCTCGTTTATGTTAATATGGAATAGAAAACTACTTTATATTTATATGAAATCACGACATTCAACGTACAGCTGCATAATAATTCACACAGACTACTGCAATGTGCATATAGAGAAATAGTAGGCCTAAACCTCATGGGAATGGAAAATGGTATCATATACGAAACGTGGACTACTATATTTCTTTAGGGAGTGAAATATGAATATATGCACCATGCATGTTACAAATCCGGAAAATGAAATTTAACTCATAGTACTGAAAACTGGAAAAACATGAATGGAGATGGTCAAATCAGCTGTTTTGGGGTGATGTTGACTGTACGTGCTGATTAGAGCTAAGGACTTTCCGAATAACCAACATTAAACAGAGATCTCATGAAAAAAATACTCACTTCAGCCCTTGCGCAACCAAAGCATCCCTAGCTCGATTTCCTGCGCTGACCACACGTTTTAATGTTTCAAGGGCTAGTATGCTTCCACCTTGCCATCCAATGGCTTTCATTAAGAGAGGAACAACCTGATGCAATTAACATTACAATTCATAAGTGACCAAAAGCACATTCTGAATTAAACAAAAAAAATTAGCAATAGAATATTGTACAACGTAAATATCTCGACTCAATTAAACCATGGAGAGTTAATGTCTGTTTGGAGTTCTCTTAGCAAATAACCTGGGGTGTTCCTACACTAGTAGCAGCCATAGCTTCAGCACATGTTGTACTAGCAGCAAGTTGATGCAAGACTCGTAAACAACTAAGACGCACTCGTTCTTGTGAAGTTGGAGAAGGGAGCTTTGCAGATCCATCTTCTGGTTCATTTGCTTCATTCAAATTATCAGTGTTTGTCATTTTTTCAACTGCCATTGTTTCTCTTCTTCCTTCATATGCCACTGCAGATACAAGTTTGGGCAGATATCCAAGATACCCAACATGATCTGCAAGAGCAGGATGTACTCGTAATAAGGACACCAATGCTGCAGATAGAAGCAGAGGGAGTTCAGGGTCAACAAACTGGGCATCATAGTGAGTGGCAGCAATGGATGACAGATATTGATCAAGTAGTCCTTCCAAAAATCTCTTTGGGTTTCTAAGAGGGAACTTTGGATCCTTTAGGAATAACCTAACATATATCCCTCCAACCTGCAGTGCAAAGAGAGTAATGTCATATACAGAACTTTTGCTCAACAGTTCACAATAAGGCGTACACTACACTGTACAAACACCTGTGGTTCATCTCTCATATCCTGACTGCCAGATGCCTGCTCAGGGACATCCCAATCAACAATACGTCCTTCAATTTGTTCACGGTGTAGTTCAGATGCCATGGTTGCAACTTGAGCAGACAAAGAGGCTGCCATTGCTGGAGTCCATACAAGTTCTGGAGTCTCTGTTGTATGATCAAGTGCACTCACAACAGCTTCACCAGGACCGTCCCTGATGACAGATACAAGGCCATCAGGGAGAAACCTAGCCAGAGTTATAGCAACTCTTGGCCCATGCATTGGTTGCCCAACAAGCTTCCCCATTAGTGAAGCTGCAGCTGCTCTTTGCTGTAGAGGAACGTCTTCTGCAGAGCATAATTTCAATTTGTAAATGAAGTACATTATCAACATGCATGAGAACTGAGAAGGCAACATTATCTAGTCTAGACTAGATAGTTTCTTTCTTATCTTTTTGATACATTATATGTTACTTTTGGGTTCTATATATTTACATTTCATCCAAAAAAAGAAACAACATACTTTGCACAGGAAGGAGTAGTTCTAGGATGTAGACCACTCCACCATGCTTGGCTGCTGACCATGCAAGCTCTGGTGTGCTTGCCAAGGCATAAAGAACATGGAGAGCTCCTTCACGGCAATTTGGTGAGGAGTGTAACATTTGCAATAAAAGTAAAAGACTCGCTTCATCAGAAACAATTGCTTCCAAGCAGGGAGCATGTGTTGTCAAGCGCGAAAGCACCCTTAAACAAAGTTGAGGAATATTGGTTGCTGAAGCTATAGGAACGGAAAAGCACTCAAAAAGTGGTAATAGTTTTTCTTTTGCAGCAAATACTGATGCCAAATCCGGTTTGCCTGTTAGCAGATGCTGGGAAAAGCAAATAAAATCTGAGTCCCAAATTTATACTACGTATGTATCTAACTGTAAGGAAACTAATTTAAATCTGTACCTGAAGAGCAACCAAAGAAAACTGAAGATTCTTAACTAATTCAAGTTCGTTCTCATTCTTAACTTCCACACCAGCAAGTGTTGAAGGATTATTATCAGGCAAATTCTGCTCATCAGATGCTGGATTTATTTCAACAATTTGAAACTCGTGCGTCACGGAGGATTGAGAATGCACAGAAAAAATTGTCCCTATAGATCCCTGGGACCTGACTAGGCATGAAATGAAATCAACAAGAGCAACAGAGAATGCCTCGGGTTCACTGACTTCATAATCTGGTTGGTCATTATAGACTCTCAGGTATACATTTCCAACAAACAGTTCTTTTGAAAGTATTTCATAAGCAAAGGATTGTGAATCTTTCAGGTCATATGAACCATCAGGTAACTGGCTAGCACGCTGCTGGTCAACAAATTTTAATAGTTCGGCTCGTGTTGAAGAGTTCCATATGATCTACAATTAGGAATACAAGATGCATCAGAGGTATAGAAGAACAAATTAAGGTTCATGCTCCAAGTGAAAATTCAAAGCCTCCTAAAAACACTCTTAAAAACAACCTAAACGGCGTGGATTTAATGATGATTTATGAATGAAGAAAATCCATTTTGGACAATAAATGTAGTCATGCGATGTACAGTGATTACCTCGGGGTTCTCCAAATTTGCATTTAGTTTAGACAGTAAATCTATGGGTGATTCATCTTTCAGCATACTTGCAAGTTTTGGTGTCAGCAAAGCTTTAAGGGCAATAGCTGCAGCCTCGTTATATGGAGTTACATTTTCACCAGTAGCTAGACCACTCAGCCTTGACAATGCCTGTGTTGCTCGTTTAGCATGCAAGTTCTTTGCAATTTGAACACTTTCACCAACACCACGGGCTTCTGTCTTATCTGACTCCCCAGCGGTTGAATCATACTGAAGCAACAGTGGCAATAGATACCTAAAACAGTAAAGGATGAAACCATAGCACGAATCCAAATTTCATGAATGCAGATAATGTAACCCAGATAATATTAAAAAATTGCCTTAAATAGGAGTAAAAACATTTGGGAATTCCAAAATAGGAGTGCTATGTTTTTATTCTCTACATAGAAGTAATTACTACCAAGCTTGGAGCACACTGCCACTTATGGCAGTATACTAACATGTTTAAAGCCTAGAAATGCCATAACATGGCAGTGAATTTTCAGGATGGCAGTAACTTCTCTTATTTAGGGGGGAAACATCAAACATAGCAATCCTATTTTGGAATTCCCAAATGTTTTTACTCCTATTTTGGGAATTTTCCCATAATATAACTACCAAAAGCGTGTTCAGCCTAATGCTCAATGTAGACTATACACTCAAGGAAAAAATCAGTACCAAAGACGAAAGAAAGAAAAGGCGCTTGCAGGCAATTAATAGACAAAAGAAGGCCTTGAAGATTCCTTTAACAATAAGCTCCACCACCAATAATACTTGCTTCGATGAGAGTTTTCGGTTAAGAAGCAGCTCAAAGGAAAAGACTTGGTGAAGGGGGGAATAACTCAGGTAAAACAAAAAAAAGATAGAGGGAGAAGTTGGTGACATAAGCTGCTGTCTTAATTTAACTCTTTTGGGACCAAGGCTTGGATGTTGTTGTAGTGTTCAATCAGAGCTTTACAAAGAGAAAAAATATGGAAAAGTATCCACATAGATCTCATAGGAGTTTGAATGAGAATCAATGACTGTAGCATTCTACATAACTTAACACAGGCAAGAAGGGTACAAATTCTGACAATTTGACTTACCAAAACACCCCAGATTTAAGCAAGGCATCTTGAAAGGCAGAATTCACAGAGACGTGAGCAATAGTCTGAAGAGCAGCATCAACAGCAGTTGGAACGAGCTCAAGTTCAGTGCAATGTACAATATCATCAATCAGTCCAGAAAACTGTAGCATTTCAGCTCTGGCACTCTCAAAACGACTCAAAACTGAATAGGTTTGCATTACATTTGCAATTATTACAGTCGATGGTTCACTCGCAGAAGTAGCTGGTTGAACTACACACATACAACGGGAGAGAATATTTGCAAGTAGTTTTATTCCACCGTCTCTTACTAGCTCTTCACCATTCAGCGAAGAAGATACACACCTAAAGTAAAGGTCAAAACATGTATACATCAAAGCTAAAAGGAAGCAGATATACACGTAGTCATAATGTCATATGGCACAAATGGTACTTACGTCAGCCATATTAGTTCTGAGGCTGCAACGAGAAGAGGTGTTCGATCAGAAGAAAGAAAATTGCTTTCATCTTGATCCACAGTGATTGCATTTAATAGCATTGGATACCCAGCATACTTAAATGGCTCCAGTAGATCTCCATAGCGCCTATACAAAATGCACTGTCCCTTCAGTAAAAGCAACAACCTCCAAGGTTGTGGACCTTGCATCCCTTGCATCGTAGCCTAGCGAAATAATGTTCAATATATAATTAATAGAATAAAGACAGAAGTATAAATTAGTCATCCATATCATGCAAACAGCCACATAACAAAAAGGCCAGCTCTGTTGCATACAGACCTGCATTCTGCATTATTTTTTGGCTTGAAATTATGATGGAATAAAGCAAAATGGCTCACTAAACTGTCTGCGCTTCTTTGTTATGGAGCAGCAGTCAGTCCATGCAATTTTGGACACGATTTTCACTATGGGTCATCCGGAAACAGTCTCTCTGTGCTTTAGTACAGGGGTAAGACTGCGTACATCCGACCCCCCCTTACCCCACCGTAGGTGGGAGCCTTTGCGGCACTGGGGTAAATGAAAATGAAATGATCCGATGATTATTATTAACATGGCTTGGACTCATGACTTCATTGCGAACATAAAGCAGCACATCTAATATAAATGGCATGATTCCAAATGAACTTATTGTTTCAGGGTTGTTTCAAATATTTGTGATATATAACTAAATCAAGGCAGAGTTAGAAGCTTGCTTGACTACACACAAATATAAATCAAAGACCATAAAACTAAGATTTTCCCATTAGGTGGGACTGTTCATATGGATCAAGTGATGCTGTTCACTCCTATCAAAACTCATCTCTTCTACAAATAAAATACTCATGAGAACTAGTCTAGTTCTTCCTATCCAAGTGAACTTAAGTGTTCATCTACTTCTCATCCGTTCCATCCCTATACCTTCACACCTCTACTTCCAGTCGATGTCACAAATAAGTAGAATAATATATGGCTAAAGTTTTTCAGAAACTTAAACAGCATACATGTGTCACGTGTTGCACCCCAATGTAGTATTATGTTATATGTAGTATGTTATATTGTTTGTGTTCAACATTTTATAGTATACCATGTTATGAACATAGGATATTGTCGTGGGTTTCGTGGGTTTAGCCAGCCTAGGCAACCGCCTAATACCATCATTTTCATTTTCATTTACCCCAGTGCCGCAAAGGCTCCCACCTATGGTGGGGTAAGGGGGGTCGGATGTACGCAGTCTTACCCCTGTACTAAAGCACAGAGAGACTGTTTCCAGATGACCCATAGTGAAAATCCCGTCCAAAATTGCATGGACTGACTGCTGCTTCATAACAAAGAAGCGCAGACAGTTTAGTGAGCCATTTTGCTTTATTCCATCATAATCTCAAGCCAAAACATAATGAATCTCCATTGCAACCGCCTAATACCCAGCAGCAATATTATTATGATATTTTGATATTTTACACAATAATAAAGATTAGAACTAAACTCATCATGACATCAGAAAATTTTAAATACCAATGACATTTCAGGGTATGAAGTGCTATGAAACTTTTTCCCGCTCTGACACATTCAAGTAGAACTGTTAACTCATCAGTTTATATCACTCACATCCCAGCTAGTTTAAAAGTTTGAGTTTTTATAGTCAAAACTTAAACCCATGAGTAAGTTTCTACCTGCAATCGCTCATATGCTTTCTGCACAGCCAAAAACTTTTCTCTCCCTTCAGGATTTTTGTCTGGATGATACTTCATCGCTAGTTTTCTATATTGGCGCTTGAGCTTCTCTTCATCAATGTTCTCGATCAGCTTTGAGATATTATGAATCTCACTTGACATCTCAAAGAGTTTATTCTTAGGAGCATCATCTCGTGATACCTCATCTAGGGAAATCTCCAATATTTTACAAGCCTCTTCTTCAGAAAGGTCCATGGGCCTACGGGTTAACTCTTCACGCCACATCACCAGCAATGACTGCAAAAATTCTACATGCTCAACAATGGGCCAATTAGGAAACCGGACCTCATCACATAAATTCCGAAGATAATATCGATGACACCACATTTCATCTTTCAGTTCTGGGTATGTCACTGGGGGCATTGGAGCATATTCATATAGAGAATGACAATGTTGGGATAGTTTCTGGGGAAAATCACCAAGGTGCTGCAACACCTGCAAAGAAACACCAAATTTAGATTAGCAGCTACAGACTGTGTATTGTCATACAAAGTGCAACGGTTTTTGTAACAAAGGCTGAATTTCAACTTAGTCCATCAACCAACCTGACGGATAAGATTTTCGGCTCGCATTTTGTGTGTCCAGATGATCTCAGGAGTATCAGAATCTGAAACCATTGCTACAGAAAATGCAGCTGGGCCACTGCGTTCCAACACATAAAGCAAAGATTCAGGTAAGAGTCCACCCAAAACACTGCGTTTTGCCAAAGGCAAAGACGAAGACAATGCTGCTTCATCCCCACCATGAAAAGCTTGATGGACATGAGTAACTGAGAAGAGCTGAGCCATTGAAAGGAGATTCGATCCCGGATATGATAAGGAAAAATAGAAAGCTCCAGTACTGTAAAGTTTTATCATTGCTTTTGGATTCCGAGTAACTACAGCCTTCAGCAAAGCAGCAGCACTCTCTACAACACTTGGCTCACCGGAAAGCATAGCCTATATACCACATTCAAGAGAAACAAATAAAATGATTGCCGGTATGTCATACCATTCAAGAAACAATTGCCTCATGAACCACAACATGATAGACTGCCCAACATAAACGCAACAAAAATAGAGTTGTGATGGCCTCAGATATCAGAACATGAGAACAATCACGAACACACGCACAATAACAAAAACAAAGTTGCACAATAGTAGTGAAAAATGCATTTTGGATTTAAAAATTACTTCATCGTAAAAACTGTTAAGGCATTGACAAGAAAATTATAAGACCTGTGCAATATGGGGAAGACACCTTGGGCTTGATAAGATCCGCTTGACCTTGGGTGTTGGTGTGACTATTTCCCCAGCATCATCTATGTCTGAGTGTGCAGCCACCATGCTGTGCAATATGGATAATGCTGCATCACCAACCTGGCATCATCATCATTATTATCAGCACCTTAATCCCAACGAGTTATAGTGCTAATTGATTTTATAAAATTAGGGCACACAATAAAATCATGCAAAAAAGAAGTGGCAATGCTGAACACCAGATTCCACATGGACCGGAAACTTTTCTAAGGATGGAAACACTCTCACAAGTAAAGGCAAGCAATTGCTCCAATTTGATGTACATATAATAAACTATTCATACTACATATTTATATGGCGCAAAGATAAATTTGTTGGCATCATGACATGCATTTTTTACTGTTCAGTGTTCACTTTGTGGAAGCATGAACATAGGAACAATAAAGCCCACATAAGAACTAAAAATGAGTGCATACCTAATGGAAGAGTACTTCTTGCACAGACGAAAATGTCAAGAAAAAGTACGTTCTCAAACATGAAGCTCTCTACGATGAAGATATAGCAACGAAGTTTAGAGCACACAGTTATTATATCAACCACATCTTACCTGGGGCAATGTGAAAAAGGTATCTATACAGCAATTGCCCTTCTAAGTGATAGGGACCTGGACTGTTGGCGAGAGAATTAATAGAAATAATACTGAATATTTTCATATGGTGTAAAAAGGAAGTGGGCTGGGCCAAGTAATTAGTTAGATTGAGGGGAAGCCTCATTTGAAAAAATAAATAAATGGAAGGAATCGAAAAGCGAGAGGGGCAGGCTGAGATTTGGGAGAGATAGAGACCCTCTTGAATTGGCCTCCCTTGTATTCCTCTTGTTTTCTACAATATATCAACGATATTTCTACTTCAAAATTTATGTGTACCTATCATTGGTATCAGAGCAGTGACGATCGATATACCTGTGGAAGACCTTCAAGGCTTCAACCAATTCAGGATGGAGAAGCGACTGGAGAAGATAAAGCATAACCTGGCTGAGGTGCGTGACTAGCACACATTGATGGAAGAGACGTGCAACTTACTCTTGCAGAAATGTCGCTGGAGACCTAGAGAATGATCAAGAACCGTTAGAAGCCGTCGACAGTTTGAAGGCTAAGGCTCATCATCACCGCGAGCAAATTCTGTCCGTTCGCAGGTTTCCTCAACCGCAATCAGTTCGCGTCAAAGCGCAACACGATCAGGAGGAGGCTCCAACTTGAGGCAATCTCCCTATGCGAGCCAAATGAGATTCAGAGAAGAATCAAACCCTGGATAGCAGCATCTGTATGCAAGCCCTAGTATGACGCTATACAGAGAAGAAACCATACAGGTGGCATCAGATAAGCAGGAGGTGCAGGAGGTGTCCATGGACAGAAGCCACAACCGGCCAGGAAGGGAGATTGACCTGCATCTATCAAATTTTGCAAAGGATACCTCAGATGAAGTTCGTTGGCAGAACTTGAACAAAAGTTTGCAGCGAGTTTCATCTGCAATGAATGCAAAGTATGATGCAGTTCAGGAAATAGAGGTTGATACAGTTTCTTACCATGGAAGAACTGCTGGAATTCAAGAGAAATCATATGAGAAGGAAAATGGGGAAATTCTTCTTTCACAGCCAGCAGATGATGAGAATGGCGGCTATAATGAATCAAATAAGATGATGACTAATGGTAATCAAGAGCAGAATGGAATTATCCATATACATCATCTTCTCGTGCAAACAATATTGATCCAGTTTCCATTCACTCAGATGTCAAGCCTGGGATGGTAGAAAAAGTTCTCGCAGAGTACTCTGGAATGAGAGCCTGAGCCACTTGATTTGTTATGCACCAATGCTGAATATCCTGCTAAGTGGGCAAGCACCAGTAGACTGTGTCCAGATGTTCACTCTTCAGGGCATGGTTCCACAACTTGTTGGTTCTTCGATGACAAACTGTGAAGTGTGGGGATCGTGCATTCATAATGTCCCATGGACACGGCCAGCAGGAGATAAAGTCACAGCTCATTATGAATTTTTGAATTTGATTACTGTACTTCTAAAGCTGTGGAGTTCTAACCATCCACCTATTGAGTATGGAGTTGGAGATGTGCAGACCATGAGCTACTAGTTAATGCCAGAACACCGCTTATTAAAAGAATAGCATTTCCAGAAGCAGGAAAAGGGATCTGCTAAGACCATGCAAGACTTATATGATGTGATGCGGTAAGATGTCTTTCAGGTGAACATGAGTGAGCACCTTAAAACATGGAAGGAGTTGTTAAAAGCTAAGAATGAAGGCAGCTTATTTCAGAAGTGGGAATGGCCAAGAGATGTTGAGTTGAAAGCTCTCACGCTTCAAGCTTATTTGGAAAGGGTGGCAGTTGGAGATTTTGAGGCTACAATTTCAAGGAGTGAAGCAACTGATACCCAAGGTCCTGCGTTATATCCTGAAGCAAGAGCTGTTAGTATGTGGAAGATTGAGCAGTTGGCGATTGATAAAGTTCAGTTCCAGCATGAACGAAACCACCCAAGTGGTACTGATGTTTTGAAGGCAGAAGATCTATTGATTCTTTTGCTAGGAGAAGTGAAGAGGAAGATTTTGGTACGGAAGCTCTTCATCCAACAATCAGTGAGGTACTTGCAAGGGAGAGGTGCAACGATGAAGCGGATTAACAAGAAAGTTTACTACCACGCACACTGAGGACAATGTGGTTGCCAAAGGGGGGAGTGATGATAGGGACCTGGACTTTTGGCGAGAGAATTAATGGAAATAATACTGAATATTTTAATAAGGTGTAAAAAGGAAGTAGGCTGGGCCAAGTAATTAGTTAGATTGAGGGGAAGCCTCATTGGAAAAGAATAAATAGAAGGAATTAGAAAAGGGAGAGGGGCAGGCTGGGATTTCGGAGAATTGGGATCTGGGAGAGATAGGCCCTCTTGAATAGGCCTCCCTTGTATTCCTCTTGTTTTCTACAATATCAATGATATTTCTACTTCAAAATTTCTGTGTACCTATCACTAAGTTCACAAACATCTCATTAATAACGTTCATTTATAGACATAAACTAGTGTTATACCATCTCACATATGTAACACTTCTAAATAAAATAAAAGTAATATTTCCTCCGTCCCAAAATTTTCTTCCCACTTTTCCTATCAGGATGTCCCAATTTTGTTTCCATATCCTTTAAAGTAGTGTTTTGTGTGGTTAGCTTTCTTCCTACTTTTTCTACCTCAACCACAAGTCACAACCATACATTTGCACATAATTAATAAGTGTGCCAGTTCAAAGTGGGAAGACCATTACGGGATGGAGGTAGTATTTTTGGTTTAAAAGGCACCCCGCGATACGGAATAAGTATTACTTTTACTAATAAAAGTTTGTGAGAGTGTCTAAATGTATATTCTTTGAACTCAGAAGTACTTCCATCTCTCGGCCATCTTACAGTTTATTATATCAATCATAGGTTACCTGGGGTGGAGTGAGAACAGGCACTCGGGTAGCGAGCGCCCATCTAAGTTCACGAATATCTCGAAGCCTCTTCCAATCGGTCATCCCAGAAGCCCAACACTTAGTGGTCCAATCGATTTCCTTCTTCGACCAGAGTCTTCTAATAGCGTCCTTCTCAACTGGACCAGCTTGTGCACCCTCCTTGTTAACATACATCCATTCCTTCAATGGCTCCATAAACGCAGTAGCAGCTATTAAGTTGGACTGCAAAGGTATAGCAGTTCTTTCTGAAGCTTCATGAACTGCAGTTAGCAGATCAACAGCTAACACACAACCACCAACCAATACACATGCCTCTATATTGGATAAAGCCTTCATCAATACCTGCAGAAACAGGAGAATAATTTCAGGAAAAACAGTGTCAGTTTAAAATCAATTCATTGAGCATAGAGAAAAATAAAACTAATGTGATCTATCCAGATCAGTGAAAAATAAGTTTCATATACAGTTTAAAACTTCAAACCTCACTTTGAAAAAACAAAGCTTTAAAGATTATAGATGATGCCAACAATGAGTAAACTTAAACTACACGGAGAACAGAAGTGTCATGAGTTAGTGCTTAATAATTTAAACTACATCAGCAAGACCATTTTTCATAAAATCTGGAGCTCATCTCCGAATAGGAAAAAAAACGACCAGCACGGATACAACAGGCAAGGAGGCCAGAGAAGCACATTGAGTAAACTTAAATTTATTACGAAGTATATCTTAATTTTAATGAGAGCAGTCCACAGTAAGTTCATTCTTTCATCAGAAACACCCCATAATAAACAATAAAAAAATTGGATTTGCCACTCTTAATAGCAATAAATCTAAGGAACCATGTGGACACACTCCCAAATATGGAAATCGAATCATGGGGTCCCATGTGAACTTATTAGGACCCAATGAACTTACTTTGACATTTATGGTGTGGGCACATAAAGCATCACCCATATTATTTCATTAGCATGATTCCCCTTATCAGTAGGGATAACACTTATTATTATTGCTACTAACCACAGCAAAACAATGCAAGAAAGGATAAAGCGAACTTTCTTCTTTTTCCAGATACTAAAAAGTAAAAACATGGAGGGAGGGAGCAAATTTTTGCGAAGGCTTTGAATTCTTGTCTCTATCTTATGAATGCAGTTCATAACTTCTTGAGATTCAGACAAACATCAACCTTCAAGATAATGTAATGAGTTGAAGCCACATATCTCTAAAAAAATTCAATACCGACAACACATATGCAGCAGAAAAAGTGAGCTAACATTTTCTCCTAATAAGCACATCAACATGCACAGCAGGATTAGAGGAAGAAAATCAGTATGAAGAATAAGATCACTCTCATAACCTTGAGGAGGAGGAGAAGACGGTGTCGTAAAGCCCTATCATCAGTTCTGTCCAAGAGGACAGTAATGTGTGGGGCACCTTCAAATGGGCCTACAATGTTGTAGTGCTGCTCATATACAATTGTCATTGCCCGAGCACAAAGCTCCCTGACTGAAGAGCCTCCTACTCCTCCAAAACCATCCAACCTTCCCATATCACACCAATTATCAGACGCACCCATTTCATCAGGAATGGCACCATCTACAGTAAGTCCCATATCTGCATCACAAAGGAAGCGATGATACAAGGCTCTAAAGAAAGCAACTGGGTCACGAATGGGGAAATCTTGTGCTCTTCCACTACTACCACTCTCAAGCAATAAGCGGAGATAATACTGACCCACACAAACTTCTTTTAATAAACTATGATATCTAACTGAAAACTCGGTGTAGTTCCAAGAAATTTGAGGCACACAATCTTGGACATTCATAGACTCTGGAGCTGCACCTCCAGGAATAATATCATCTGTGCGTTCCTTCTCAACATCTAGGTTATGAACCTCGGACTGCAATGCTTCCCTTAATTCCTGCCGGGTGCGCTCATTCCATATTAAGTCTGCACGGTTGTGGTCAAGACTAAAAGCTCGCCAAAATTCAGGCCAATTCAATAATAATCTCCCACACCCCACAGATGCATCTTCTACAACTACCTGCGCAGGAGCTGGAAGCCCTGCACTCTGAGAAACCATGCTTGCATCAGAACCAACTGCAATTGCCGAATTTGGTTGCACTGGCTCATAAGCACTTGTTGAAGAAGTGTCAGCAAAAGAAACAGCAGCAGACTGATCAGTTGGCAGAATACATGTAGTTGGTGTGTCAGTTTGGATGCTTTCACCCACATGACCTGCAGTAGAATGAATTGGTGATGTCTGTGCAGCAGTTGGTTCTACAGTATCCTTTTGATAACCATCTTGACTTTTGATAGGAATGACACTAGTGAACCGTGGTTGATCCCCGACTCCATAGTTATTTTGTGAAGGCAAAGGATGTCCATTAGATGTGATCACTTTTCCAGGGTGAATCCTCCTCTGCTGAAGGAGACGCCTCTGTTTCCTGCTCACTAATGAGCTCTCCTCATTAGATGAATCTTCTATTGAATTTGTAGATCTTGTGTGCAAATATGCAACCAGACCAGGAGGCAAAACTCTGGATAACAAATCAAGTGCAGGTTGATAAGAATCAGCCCAGAGAGCCACAAGTTGCCGGCTGACTTCACGACGCTCACCAGCAGGAAGATAAAATGCATGCAACAAATGCCTCAGCAACGCACCATCTCTTAAAGCAGCATCACGCATCGACTCTGCTGCAACGGCATCTTCTTCAGCAATTGTACGCATGATGACAGCCACTGTTTCTCGCACACTTTCTGCAGGATGTCCGAACAATGCAAACAGGCGACGGCGTAACCCAGCTACAAGACGCAATAATTCCACAAAAACTGTATATTGAGTTGTCTCACCATGTGGTTCACATATCATTGCCTCAAGAACCTCAACTACAGACATTGATAGTAATGGTGATACAGAAATAGGCTTTATCCTGTTCACAAGAATTATAAGATTGCTTGGTTGGGCGAACAACACAGATTTAGTATGCATTATTGTTGCGTGCCTTTCCCCTTTGGTGTCTGCTAGTACATTAGTTTCCCCTGGTCCACCACCAACAAGTATAGCAATTAAACCTGCAGTTTCAGCAGCAACACCCTCAGAGCCATTTCTCAGAAGGCCCATTATCCGTCCAACTGCAGCTGGAAATGACATCACATGAGAAGCAGCACTTCTTGATGCAAGCAGCCTGCGCAAACATGCCATGAAACCCATCACTGTAGCAGCCGCTTTAGGAGAAGGAGGGGGCAATGGAGGTGACTCAGGGGGGAGATTTGGAGCAGCTGGAAGCATTGTGATCAGAGCCATTAGTGTGACCTCAGGTACTTCAATATGATGTGGCAACCCACCATACTGAATGCATGCATTAAATTCTCTTATTCTACGCCACAATTTGGCTCTCGATCCAGGAATAGACCCTCCCTCAGCTACAGCATCTTTCGCAGCTGCTGCCAAATGTTTCAAATGCATGGTTGCAGTTTCCATGTCAGCAACAAAGTGATGTGTAGAAGGATATAGTAAGTGAACTCTGCCACAAGGTGGATCAATTCGATGACCAGGCATGGTTAGCCGTGGCAATACAGGTATCGGGCATTGCCCCTGCATATGACAAAATGCAACTGAATATGAAAAGAGCAATAACAACTAACCAGTTCACAAAGTTTAACTTGCAGCTGCAGAGGCAACATGTGTGCATGCATGTGAAGAGAGTGAAAAAAATGAATTTAGTTGTTTGTCCAGAGGCCAAAAAAGAGGTCAAGTAATAATCAAGGAGCACAGGTACCTACTTCAGTTTGCAACACATCACGAATTGCTGCAAGTAAGCTATCTCGGGATGTGCTAGCATATATCTGAAACACATAATAATAGAGATCAGAACACACAGCTAACATTCAAACAAAATATGTAAATCCTTCAAAACTACACACATGAATAGGGCATCCATCATTGAATTCAATGGCGAACATCTGCGGCTCCTCAGCAAATCGAACAAGCGCACTAACAGAAGACAAAGGGCGAACGCTTACAGCCTGCAAACATTGGACAGATTCTTATTTTGCATCATACTCCTACTCTAATAGAAAGAGAAGCCTTGGATAATCTTGTTTGAAGGAAGAGGATTGCAGGTAATAAGTCTGATTAATGACGGAACTTTATACGCCTTTATAGATCTTCCTAACTGCTCAAAAACCTTACCGCTCTAAAAGCAGAATTAAGGGAATAGGAAAGGAGACATTGGCAATTGAGAGGTCAAACTACTGTAGCCAACAACTCAGATTCTTAAAAGCAGCATTAAAAACTAACTTTAAACCAAAAAACATTGAAGTGTTGTAGAGACATTGATGATAAAGAGGAGTCTTGGCCATTGAACCAAAAAGAACTGTATTTGCCTTAAAAATTAAATTGAATTGACCCAAGTATTGCAATATTTATTTATTTAAAGGATTTTTCTTAACCTTTTACAGTGATGAAATATTGTTTTGAACTCCATTTGCCTCATCTTCCTAGCCCTGCTTTCCTTTGTAGTGCATCCCAGGATAATGTTCATTTTCCTAATTTAAATATTGGTAACTTTTAACATTTCCATATCCACCTTTTTTTCTCAACTATTTGAAATGGTTTAAGACTGTTGGACAAAATTCAGGGAAGTTTTTGGAAAAAAAAATCAAGAGTTTACTCATTTATATTAATAAATAATTAATAAAACCCGCGCAAGAAGCAAATTTTGTCTCATATTTTGGGACAGATGTAGTAAATAAAACATGAAGTAAATGTATTCTTGCTTCTAGCAAGGACTCTCCTAGTACAAAAAAGTTTACTGAAGCAAAGGAGAATCATATACCTCCTAGTCTCCTTATATAAGGTCATTCAGAAGCATGATGAAAGAGATTCAAGAATAATAGTATGAAACAACCCCAATCCTAAATTAGGGCAATATTCAACCTAAATGCATTTTATAAGTACAACATAAATGATCATTGCCTTCCATCTGTTATCAATTTTGGTATCCCGAGTATCCCTGTAATACTATATACGAATATGTGACCACCTTTTGGCTTTTGAATGTAATTTTTTCCTTTCACGCTTCTAGGGAAAGACCTAATTCCTCGAGGTACCTTGAAGTACGATCAAAGGAACGTTGAGAGTAGAGTATGTCACACAACTTAGTACTCACATAGTTGTAATGATGGTTCCATAGTTGTAAAGTAATAACATAAGGTATTGTCCTACCCACAGTTGGTATGTACATCTTCAAATGGGTTATGAGCTCATTTTACAGGGATTCAGTAGATATTTTCACTGGGGTGAAAGGTCCTCCTGAAATATAGCAAGTCCCTTCCCCTGATGGAAAAGCATAGCCAAATGAAGTGAAGGGGGGACTGTTTAAGCCTTTCAAAAGGAAGACCATATGAAAAAACCGACTTCCATACTTTCACACTCAAAGTATGCATGATCTCCCGCACTATGCGTAAGCAAAAGTCTACTGTCTTATGATATTGTATGGAGCCACGTTGAGGTATAGTATAGCTTATGTATGGGCCATAACTGCCACATAAGTAGTTACAGCAAACAGCAGTTGCGGAAGTAGGCTCCCATAACAAACTATGCTTTCTCCAATAGCTTTTGTCAATTACCTCACTTAGTATTATAATTTATAACCTATGGTTGTACACTGCCTGGGAGGTTCAGAGATCTTTTCAGATTCCTTTTTTTTCAGGAAAGGGATGCCCAAGGCGAACTAAGGTTAGGTTCAATGGGTTCTACACATTATCACACATTTCAATATCTGCACTCTACCTAAGCCACATGCATGAAGGCTTGAAGCAGAATGTTTTACTAAGTCGCAACCTTTAGCTCCCTTCAGTGATAAGATTGACATTTAGACAAGTCATACACATGCATCAAAACTATGAATGACAGAAACACAAGCATCAATGCTTGATTCAGAATAACTGAACAAATGGCACGATGTTTTACTAAGTCACAACCTTTAGCTCCCTTTCAGTGATAAGATTGACATTTAGTCAAGTCATACACATTGCATCAAAGCTATGTCTGGCAGAAACACAAGCTCAATGCTTGATTCAGAATAAGTGAACAAATGAAGTCTGTCTGTCTGTGAAACAAATTCTTATGGTCCTTTATTGTTGACTTAACCTTTGTTCATGTTTCTGCTTTCTTGTGTAGCTTGACTTAATGCATGCATAATGAATAATATTATACTTTGCCGCTTATAATATCTGCTTACATTTACTGAGAGGCAAGGGTCAGATTGGTCCTCGAAATTGCATAAAAAGGGTCAAATAAGTCCTTACTGTCCGGCCGTCGCCTTTTGGGGATGTTCCCGGTGGAATTTTTTGATGAAATTTTTTGAGCATCTTATTCATTAAATCTACTTTACTCATACCAAATTTCAGCGAAAACTTCAATCGGGAAGGCATTCAAATCAAGTCTTGAAGATAACTGCGCAGTTTAAAGCGCAGTTATCTTCAAGAATTCATTTGAATGCCTTCCCGATTGAAGTTTTAGCTGAAATTTGGTATGAGTAAACTAGACTTAATGAATAAGATGCTCAAAAAATTCATCAAAAAATTCATCAAAAAATTCCACCAGGAACCGCCCTGAATGGAAACAGCCGGACAGAGCCTCCTATATAAGGACTTATTTGACCCTTTTTATGCAACTTCGAGGACCAATCTGACTCTTACCTCCCTTTACTGATTTACACAATGTTCCTTAAGAACAACAAAAATAGAACTAGCTTACTTCATAGTTCTCAGGCCGTCGTTCAACAATAGAAACCTTTGTTAGAACAAGTTGACGAGAAACAGCATCACCATTTTCCCCGATGCCTCCTTTAGGGCCAACCAACAAACTCACTCCAGGACTATTTACAGTCCCATGTCCACTAGTGCGCAATCTTATCACTGACCAAGCTCCAAGAGGAGTTTCTTCTGCTCCAACGGCCTCTTTTGCTGTACCCCATGAAACAAAAATAAAAAATTTAATTAATTGCATTAGTAGTCAGCTATGAAATGAAAAAGTGATAATAAAATAAGTGGATGAAAAGGAAATTAAGAAAACAACTACCCCTTCTCTTTATATACTCTGATATAGTTAGTGATTGAGAACTGTCCATGGATAACGAAACACCAACCATAGATTTGGCAGATTTAATCTGCACCAGAACACTGGAAATATTAAGGACATCTTCCACAGCCCCAAAAAATGTTTCTTTTCTAAAAGAAAGCCAAATAATAGGGTTTTGAAAGCAATTGAGTAAGTAGTACTGTAGTATGCAGCAGATTACACCAAATACAAGGTGCGGAATACTTCAGAATGCGACTGCTATAAAACATTAAAAAATTGCATACAATATTTTCTGTTACAGCAGCATTTGAAGTCCCCGAAGCTGCCTGGAAAGCTTTTGATTTTCTTCCATATAGTGGACAAAGAACAAAACCCCCAGCTTCAGAGTTTTTCTTCCCATAAACATCAGAGAGAAGAATAATTGCAGGGGAATCCATATCTCTAAAGTCCAAGCTCCAGCGAAGATCTCCCACTTCTAATTCAACAATTTCAATTCCTACATATGTAACTCTCAGTTTCTGCAAAAAGAAAAGTTATCACCACGCAACCTCAAGCAACTGGTGGAATGAAGGAGTGAATAAAAGCAAAATAATTGTTAAAAGACAAGATTTTTATATGCTTAATATTGCCCATCTTATCAGTAGAATGGAAATTTTCTACTAATTGCTAAGCGAACTAGTTCAAAATAATGGTTTAGCGACACATATACCCAACTACCTATAAAAGAAGTCAGCAATGAACGGACCATGTATGAGGTTCCCATCCTTTTACCACTCTTTACTCCTAATAAATAGAGTCAACCTTAGAAAGGGATTCAGCAGTGCCAAATGAAGCCAATATATACATCCCCATAGCTCCAGAAGAATGTCACACTCACATTTATTATAATGATCTGTTACCAGAACATTGAATAACTTGACACATTACTATAACACTATTTTCTAAACAATATCTATTGTTCCTAACATTATGTGAGCATCCTGAGCAAAAGAATGGCATCAACCAAATTCTGCCAACCACCTCCCCTCCTGTCCGCCAAGTGAAACAAACAAGGATACAAATAATACAACAATTGAGTCACTGACACACCAATTCTCTTCACCAGCTTAATACTCTGATAGGGACCTACCTATTAGATTAATCATAGAAAGAATCATAATAATAGTTGTAATAAGGGCTTAGGCAGTATTATAGTATAAATAGATGTAGAGGGAAGGTAGTAAGGAGGCTTTTTGGACTTTTGGACTGGGACTGGGAAAGATTAGAGAGTTATTCTCTTCTCTTTTGGGAGGCTTCGGCCTTTGTTTCTGTTTCTCTCTGTAACCGATCTTCTTCATCAAATAAGAATTTAGTTTGATTTTCTTGTTAATCTACTGTAATTGTTCTGTACTGGTGACTGGTGAGGTCTCTAAGATTGGTATCAGAGCTGTTACATCCTGGAGACAGATCTGAATCATGGAGGAGGATTTCTACCTGACACCGCAAATGGAAAAGAGTTTTGATAATATTGACCGAATTATGAGGGAGACACAAGCGAGTATGGTCACGTCGCAAGAAAAGATGAAGACGATGATGGCCGCTATGCAAGAGGCGATGCAAGCTAGCGTCGCAGATTTGCAGAACCGACTTCAAAGTCGTTCGCGACATACATCGCACCATTCGCACCCATCTTCGCATGGCTCATCCCACCATAACTCTTCCCATCGCTCGTCGTATAGCTCTTCTCGTCGGACTTCGCATCATCAGTCGCGAAGGTCATCCAATCCAGAGGGATCGGAAGAGAATTTTGACTACTCTCATACGCATCCCAAATCTCATCATCGACATACGCGATTTTCGACTGACTCAGAGGAGTTAGAAGAGCAGAGACATCGCAGAAAATCTGGAGACCGATCGAGGACGACTAGGTATCTTCCGCTACCTGACAAACACAGTCCATCGTCATCGCTTATAAGTTCGCAAACTGAATCGCAAATGAAAGCGCGAACTGTTCCTTTTAGTTCGCAATCGCGAACTTCTTTTCATATTTCGCAAGCGCGAACTGTTTCTCGCCATTCGCAGAATTCCTCTCCGGACCTCAGTTCGTGTCCAAGAAGTCACCAATCGATTTTCACTATTTCCCTTCCTCTTCTCAAGTCGTTTCTCTGTGTTCGCCAGTTTTATCGCAAGATGGCTTTGTCCCTGAGCAAGAAATTCTACCGTCCATAGAGGAGATTGAGAGGGGACCAATTGAATCTGGAATCAAGAAAACGAATAAGGAGGACGAAATCGAGGAGCAAACTACAGTTGTAGGTGTCTTAAAGTCGAAAACGGGTCTTCCGGTTAAACAAACGCCAGATTATGCTTCTCCTAATATTGAAATTGCTATGGATTTAACTCCCAGTCGAGTTTCTATTGCTGACCTGCTTATCCACCCATGTTTCTTTGGAAGTAGAGTCTTAACTGCTTATGAAATTGGAGCACTTAAAATCAAGAACGTTTCAGATGACAAAGCTGTTCGGATCAAAAGTCAAGAACCTAGACAACCCAGGGAAATGTTTTCAGAATATTCAGGCATTGATAAAAGGAAATCTGGGTCAGAGGCTCAGGAGGATCATGTGGATCTTTTTTTAGGAGAATTTGCTATTATGTTTGGAAACCGTAAACCTTTTCCTGAAGATGAGAAGTCTAACTATTCCCAGCACTTTGATAGAAGTTCCCTGCAACTCACAACAGTAATTGTTAAAGACTTATCAGGATTAAAAGAAGCAGAATTGCAGCATATTGTTGATAGCATGATAAACTACCACAAGCTTGGCTTACATAATCCATTGAAAGCATTAGGAGGATATCTAAAATTGGGAGACATCACTGCAAAGACTGTTCTTAGCCTATCACTTACTGATGTTTTTGACATCTTAACAAGAGTGTTACAGAAGATGGCTCTTAAGAGTTATCAGCAAGCTCTAGGCGAAGTTGTTGCACCAAAATTTTTAGAAATACTCTATGGTAATCAGGTTCATTTTCTGGCAAGATCTTCTGAAGTGTCAGGAAGTTATTTGGGACAGAACCGCCCTGATTTGTGGACTTATGGTCCTTTGGAAATTGTTACTTACTTTAAATTTGTACTGGATATTCCTGCATTTCAGCTGATGGGTGCATTACTCAAGGAAAATATGCATGTTCTTAAAGAAGACATCTGGTTATGCAGTGTAATGGGAAAATGCTACTTCTGTTTCATGATGGGGGAATACCATTGGAGATTGTAGAAGTCTTAAATTCAAAAAGAGGAACACAGTATGACACAAGTTTTCATAAACTTTCTTATGACATGTGTGTGGATGAAATTCTGTACGAGCTATTCAGTGAGAAGTTTCACTCAAGAGAGAGGATGGAGTCTGAGGGACATGCAATGCTGAGCATGGTCAAGAGCTTCTCATCTAGAGGACTAGAAGTCTGGGAACTTCTTATACCACCATCAACGAGGTACTGGGAGGGAAGAGGCACCAGGAGGAAGCGGAATTCCAGACTTGGTTCCTATCTTCCCACCTTGAGGGCAAGGTGGATTCTCAAAGGGGGGAGTATTGATAGGGACCTACCTATTAGACTAATAATAGAAAGAATCATAATAATAGTTGTAATAAGGGCTTAGGCAGTATTATAATATAAATAGATGTAGAGGGAAGGTAGTAAGGAGGCTTTTTGGACTTTTGGACTGGGACTGGGAAAGATTAGAGAGTTATTCTCTTCTCTTTTGGGAGGCTTCGGCCTTTGTTTCTGTTTCTCTCTGTAACCAATCTTCTTCATCAAATAAGAATTTAGTTTGATTTTCTTGTTAATCTACTGTAATTGTCCTGTACTGTAATTGTTCCATTTTTAGCAGTACCAGAAAGATCTCTACACTTCCTTATTTGCCTTATTTGGCAAATAAATCTACACAAAACAGTGCCACACAGTGCCAAACGGTGTCAAACAATTCTAAACAGTGTCAAACAGTGTTTATTTCCTTAAAAACTATGAAGTCTAAGTGTCAAGATCTTTTGGAACCGGATGGAGTATCTATTAAAGCGCCGAAGATAACAAGTAAAACTCCATCACGTAGGATAGAATCACTAATTCTTCAGATAATCCAGGGTCATATGCATGCTCCTCACATGAAATAGGCATGTTTAACGCCCACCTTATCAAACAGAACTAAGAATGGTGCTCTAGTGCGTCAGCTATTCCATATTTTAGGTATCTTCTTCATAAATAGCACACCTTTCAGGACACTGTTTTTACTCTATGTGCAACTAGAAGTGTGGGTCCATATATTAGTATATACATAATATTAGTATATTATGCTGTAAATGGCTATGCATTAAATTAAACTCTAATAAAGGAATATAAAAATGCTAAAGAAAAGATCACTTACATACGGAACCCACTGTGAAGTTTTCCTCCTTAGATGCAAAACAGGAAATTCTCCAATTGTACCAAGCCTGTCCCATCTAATTCTATGCAGCTCAGTCAAAATACTCGCTCTATATATGGATGAAAATTTGAAAGCTTTGAATTTGCCACGACCATCAGTCCTCACACTTATATTGAACTCATTCGAATTGTCATCTCTGCCAATTATAGGTTGTGCACCTTCAAAATCGCTCCCAACATCATACGAATTCGTCACAGACAATGTAGTGGGATCCAGAGTAATTATAGTGTAATTGGATATGCACAAGATCCTCTTGTACTTTCCGCGCCAAGAATGTTTCACGACCAGATACCTAGCCAAGTACTCAGGCTCTTCCATTGCATGAGAGACGGGAGATGGTGACACAGAAGAAGAAGGCGGTGGAAGTGGATTCTGCTGCTCTGGGGCGGAGGTGTGGCGATGCACGAAATCCATTTGAGGTAGGTAGTGTAGCGAGTAAGGCTGAGGTGGACTAGGGCGAAGGAAAGACCATGGTCTCGAACCCGAACCACCGGCCGTGCCAGCCGACGACGGTATCTGCCGAGACTGATTCGCACCCAGCGCTTCGACTCTTGCTCAATTTATTCACAATTGTGTTCAATCAAACCATAAACTCTCACCAAATATATGCATATCCTAACAATAGGCAGTATAAAAGGGTGAATTTTATTAAATAACAAAAACAATGGGTTGATCAACGAACGGAATCCAGAGGACTTCGATCGTAGCTAGGCTTTTAGCACAAAGCTTTCGCCTTTAAGCAATTCGGCATGGACAGCTTTGATATCCAATACACCTACAGCTGCTTTAGCATTATTTTATTGTGAGTAACATGACAATAAGAAATGGAAATGTGGTTGGGCGACTGTACAAAGCCGCAAGATGTGATCGAAGAGCCGAATACATGTCTTATGTCTACGGTTTTTTAGAAAATTGTATTTTTAGGTAGACAAGTGAAAACATAGCAAGAGTAGATTAGAAAATTTTAGGCCTCGGACTTAGAACCGGAAACCTGGAAAATCGGGAAAACCGAGCTGAACCGAACCGAATTTACTGGTTCGGTTCCTAATTTTTTTGACTTGTAAAGTATTCGATTCGCTTTCTAAAATATTAATACGGTTCGGTTCGGTTCCGGTTCTAACCATTACTAACATGTAGGAACCGAAGTTCCTATATAGGAATTGTATTATTACTCTACGTACATATATCCCTATCTCTGATGACCTTATTTAACATAAGCTCGACCGCCCACTAAAATATAAGGGTGTGAAAATTACTTTTACGTTTAACTTTTAACCTAATAGTAAACTCTTCTAACTCTCTCCAGGAATCGACTAATCGAGCGACCAATCTTCTCCAGGTTTCAAGCAACTCAATGACCCTATCTCCAAGAATCTTCGAGCGAAACTTTTTCCATGAATCAAGCTCTTCTAGATCTAACATTGAACCTCTAAAGTCTAAATTGTGCTCCATCTATGGGTATTCAAATCATCCAGGTTTTCCCTTATTCCTTATTTCCTATTATGAGTTGTTAAATTAAACTAATTATCTTTGTGAGATGGTAATATGGTTTAATCTTTGAAATATGATGTCTAAGAAACTAGTAGGAGTTTTTTTTTCAGTTGGATTCTATCTGGGGTTTACTTCAATTTCTTCTTTTGGAGTATTTCATTATTACTTTTTTTCGTTGCAGAATAGATTAAATCTTATGTTGAGCCAAAAGCATCACTACTACAGGAATTATTTATTACGTCGCACCTTTAACGTCGGTTCTTGAATACTGCCCTCATAAATTACTTTCTACGACGGTTGTTTGCAAACCTGTCAATGTATGTTTTTTAGAAAAACTAGTATAGTACCCGTGCATACGTGCGGGAAAGAACATCTGATGCATCTAATTGAATATGAACAATATAGAATTTTAAAAAAAAATCATTCAAATAAATAAAAATACAATAATTAAATAACATAAAATATATGTCCATACATTAAATATAAAAAGTAAGGCTAAAAGCTAAACCTATTAATTAAAGAAGGGCTTATTAATATAATCAATGATTTGTCTTTTCATTAGTCGAACAATTCAACCCTTGCATCCCTCATGTAAGGAAACCAATGTCCATGGAGGATCTACATGACTACATCAGGGCAATGGTGGGAAGCTCTGTGCAACTTATTTTTTTCCCCCAGTTTTTGAAATGCAATTTGTTCTCATTTTTCATGTGTAGCACATTCGCTAATGTTTAAGGCTAGTATGATTACTCCGCAGCCCAATCGAACTTAGATTCTTGGATTCGCCCTTGCTAATATTTACAAAAAGGCCAAGTAAAGAAGGGAGAAAAGGAATTTTTATGAGTATTTGCATGAGACATAAATCAACTATAAACAATAAACTACTTCATAATTAATAAACATTTAGTAAATTAAGTACTCATATTTTAGTTCAATCATTAAGTTTCATGTACCTAAGAAATTATTCTTCTACTCAATCTCATATAATGGAATTTGATATTTTCATTCGATCATGATAGTTTAAGTGTTCATATTTGATAGTTTACATTCATACGCATGTGGCTAGGCCAAAGACTTACTCGAATTAATATAATCAATGAATTGGGTTTCTAGTAGGTATACAAAACACAAAATACGAATGATTATATGCCAACATGTCACAGCTTGCATCCCTCATATAAAGAAACTAATATCTATAAAAACCTGCCATTTTGGTGGATGGACAACACATATTTGCTCTTTAAGAAGATAAATGAAAGCAAAACGCTGATGTCGATATCAGAACTCATCCTCTTTTTTTAATGCTTTGTTTGAGTTCTTAAGTTCTAATCAAAACAATTAAGTAGCTATTGATCATAATTTGGAAGAAAAGGACATTATTTAGTAATAGGTGTCTGTATAAGGCTCCTACAATAAAAAAAGGCTCCTGGAATTAAAAAAAGGCTCCTGCAATTAAAAAAAGGCTCGTGTAATAAAAGAGAGGCTCTTGCATTGCACAAATCAGATTGACATACAACCTTTTATTTCAAAATGTGATTATCTATATGACACACTGAGAATGATAGATGAAGACCATTTCACTATTTTTGTTTCATTAACTTTTTAGCAACATAGAGATGGCAAGTCTATTGTAATTGTCCATTTGACCTATGCTAGAGCAAGTCTGAAAATGGTGCAAAGGTCCATTTTATTAAGTCAATGGCTATAAACATACTTACGATCAGATAATGAGGGATATGTTCAATGACTAAAGGAGTCCCATTTACTCCTTAAAAAAATAGTTCCATTTACATCCCAAATATATGAGGAGTTAAGAGATCAAAAACGCGTTAACAACCCTCGTAGACGTAGACATCACCCCTTTTGGTTAATAAAATAGTGCCAATTAACTCCAAAATCTAACTTATAAGTTAAGAAGAACATATAATTTATGATGATACACATTAAACCTAACTATTTTGTAAATTTAATTATAAAAATAATTCTGTTTTTCTAAGATTATCTAAACATTTAGTTGAACATCATATATAAGAACATAGTATTGAAGAAGAAGAAAAACTACATTTTCTACTATTAAAGTTATGTTTCTTTGTTATGAAAGATGAACTAATTAAGCATTTCATGGAACATGTGTGCCAAATTGTTAGGAATAGTATATAGAAGCTACACGTACATTGCTTTGTAATTAATATTAGTTGGGCTTCTGTTATATTAGCTGCAGTTAGTTACAACCATAGCTTCTATAAATACTCTGTACACTTTCTATTTTTCAATAAGATGATTTCACTTCTTTCTTCTACCTTGCTCTATTTCTAATATGGCATCAGAGCTCTGCTCGATCTACCATGGCGAACTCCGAGTCAAATTCTTCTTCTTCGTTGCAATCAACTTCTCAGATTGCCAATCAAACCTCGCCTATCATCTTTCATCATCATCTACCTGTTAAACTCGATTCAAACAATTTCCTGTTCTGGCGACACCATGTCGAATCAGTAATTCGAGCTCATAAGCTTCTCAGATTCATAGAAAATCCTCAAATACCAGATCGTTTTGCTGTTGATGAAAATGGAACAAAAACAGTTAACGAAGCGTACAACACATGGGAGCAACAAGACCAGATGTTGTTTTCCTGGCTCTTAGCTTCGTTTTCTGAGTCACTTCATGCTCGCGTCATCTGCTGCAAGCACTCGCATGAGTTATGGAGTGAAATTCAGCAATTTTTCCGCTCCAACATCATCGCGCGAGCTCGTCAGCTGAAATCAGAACTGTATAACACCGGAAAAGGTGATCGCTCTATTTCTGAATATCTGCTTCGTATTCAGACCATTGTGGATAACCTAACATCTGTCGGAGAGCCTATATCCACCAAGGATCACATCAATGTGATCCTTGAAGGTCTTCCTGAGGACTATGAATCATTAATATCTTCTGTCACCTCGCGAAGTATTTTAGATCCAGTTACTTTGTCTGAACTTGAAGGCCTTCTGTTGGCTAAAGAATTACGACTGAGAAAACTACGTGACTCCTCACAGCAAACAATATTTTCTGCTAATGTTGCGCGAGTTGAAACTACCTCTCCTACTACTGAAATTGAAACTCAGAATACTTCAGAGAATGCCTCAGCTCAAATTGCTCAGTTTGACACATCTGCAGACAATTCATCCTATAGAGGAAGAGGTCGTGGAGGTTTTAATAGAGGCAGAGGTGGTCGTTCAGGTGGTAAAAGCTCTATAACTTGTCAAGTTTGTGGTAAAAATGGTCACAGTGCCATTGTGTGCTATCACAGATACAATCCAGCCTATACAATTTCCAGTTCTAATCCTTCTACTATGCATCAATCTCCTTTTCCTTACTCAAATCAGCCTTACCAACCTCAACAGTCTCCTTTTCAATACTCAAACCAGCCTTACCAACCTCAACAGCCTCCTTTTCCTCCACCACATTCATATCCAAATCAATACCAATATCAATCATCTCCTTCAAACACAACAAGATATTCACCCAATCCAACCCATCAATCACAGTTTATGCATCAAACACAACCTTATACTCCATCACCTAATCATCCTTCACAGTTCAGTTCATCATCAACTGTGCCAACTGCAGCCTGGGCTTCTGCAAATTCATCTATACTTGGACCAGCTCCCAATACACAAAACTGGTTCCCAGACTCTGGAGCAACACATCATGTCACAGCTGATCCCCTAACCTTTCAACACAGTGAGCCTATTGCTACTACTGATAAGCTTTTTATGGGCAATGGTCAAGGTTTGGAAATTAAGTCTATTGGCTTTTCATCCTTTCCCTCTCCTTATCATTCATCTCTTTCTTTATCTCTAAATAACATCTTACATGTTCCTGCCATCACTAAAAATCTGTTAAGTGTCAGCCAATTTGCCAAGGATAACCATGCATTTTTTGAATTTCATCCTCATGAGTGCTTTGTCAAATCCCAGGTTTCTAAACAAATTCTGCTATATGGAATCCTTGGTGAAGATGGTCTTTACAAGTTCCAGTCATTTCCAGCTCTTGGGTCTCACCAGTCACCTGCAAAAGTGTCCAAGTCTTATTTCTGTGTGTCCTAGCTCTCTTATGTCTACTTGTAATAACTCTCAGTCAAACATCAATTGTAATATTTGGCATTTAAGACTAGGCCATCCTCATTTTGAGGCTCTTAAGTCTGTACTCAATCTTTGTAATCTGTCTCATTTAAATAAAAATGCTATGGACTTTTGTTCTGCTTGTTGCCTTGGTAAAGCTCACAGATTACCATCTCATCCTTCTACAATTGTATTTCATTCTCCTTTTGAATTGATTTACACTGACTTGTGGGGACCAGCTCCTATTCAATCCCTTGATGGTTATTGTTACTATATATCCTTTATTGATGCCTTCACTAAGTATACTTGGATATATTTTCTCAAAAAGAAATCTGATGCCTTCTTAGCT